GAACTAGCATTTATTAGATATATCTCCCCCCCNCCCCCCCCCCCCCCCCCACGTGCGTTGAATAGGGCGACGGGCTCAGTGCGTGCGGTCTTTTGATTTTCACGTAGTGAATCAATCCTAGGGGTCCACCCACTCGAGCTTCGTTGCGGCTGGCAACACCCCTGTCGGTTCAACTGGAGTGACAAGCACGGGATGGGTGGGGGCGAGCTGCCGATTGCACGATTCCCCTCATCCCCAAAAAGATCATACGATTTCTCCCACCGACATGCAATTTTTCTCCCAAAAGACCATCAGGGGCTCAACAGCAACATGTTACAAGACCTCCCCAGGCGCAATGGCAAAGTCAGGCCATCTCGAGCCCTTTGGAACCATTTCTTCCAATCGGCTCGACTCGCCCAACTCCATTTCGGCGCATGCAAAGTGGGCCATCCCTGTCACCCTCCTCAGAGCTCGACGCTGCGCTGCGTTGATTGAATTTGGCTGTCCTTTGGCGGGCTCGACTTTTTGACTGCCAGAACCAGGAGGTCTCGAGGTACCGACCAGCCGTCGAGGCTTGCGGAGACGAATCAACCTTGGCCAGAGACCAGTTTTCGTTTTTTGCAAATGACGCTGCAACGTTTGCCATTGCTCATCCGTCAGCCTCTTCCATGATCACGCTTGCATCGCCAGCAATCTTTACCGACAAGCTGTCGCCGTCCCTCCAACTTTATTCGCGTGCAGGCGTATCCAACCAGCCCCCTTCTCTGGTGGCGCAACATCAGCCAAACGTCGTGGTTGTGCTCGCATACGGTGACCACCAATACCCACCACCACCAGCTGCCGCGGAGGCACCTAGCTAGCAGCCCAGGAGCGTATTACCGAGCCATAGATATCTCCACAAGCTGTCGACATTGATTGTTGCGCTCTCGACATCCTTGACCTCGTTTCCTTGTCTCTGCTGCTCCCCAGCGATCTCAATCGCCCCTCGACTCTTCTCTCTGAACCTGGACTCCTTCTCTCTTCCGTCTTCGGCGCAGCTTGGTTCACCGTGTTGGGGCTCTGCGAACCTCGCTACAAGGGCGCCCATTCGTTACCATCGCCTCTCAGGCTGGGTCATGCGCTCGTGCTGCTTGCGCATCGCATTCTATCCTGCCCCGAACAACGAAACCGACCGAGCATCCATTCATCCATAAGCTCACGCCACCTCGCACCCTCCTCGACCCCAACGGCGATCGAACGAAAACAGAGCCCACTCGCACCTCATTGTAAAAGAGACGAACGAGCACCTCCAACCTATTTGTCGACTCCGTCACCTGTGCCATCGCACGAGGCTCGGCACGACCGGCGTACTACATTCTCAACATTGCGGCGGTTGCACTAGGCGGTACTGGATTGTTTGTCTCACAAGGGCCCGAAAGCGATTGCTGCCCAAGCATCCTGCCGATGGGCGAGGCGTTGCACCGGACCGTCGAAGCTTGTCAAACCATTCCGTGCGCATTTGAGGCGGGGAAGACGCTAGGGGCTGGTTGACAGAACACCTGGCGACGGCGTAGCAAGGAGCGAGCGGGAGCCGTCGACGCCACCATGGATCCGAATCTCATGAGACACATCGAGTATTTCTCGGTGCCTAATAATCAGGTAAACTCCGCAAGCCACCCCGCGGCTGCTGATGCCAGACTATCGGAGCTATCTCGGACGCTGACGCCGCCCCCACAGACCGGCAAATCGATCGACCGCGCTGGCGCATCGCGCCCGGCCGCGCCGCAACCCCTTTCGCCATGGAACACAAGTTCTCTGGACCCCGCGAACCAGCAGCACAGCACCGCCTCGTTCGAGGCCTACCAGCAGGCCCAAAACCAGGCTGTTGGCGGGATATCCTTTGACCCCCCTGAACGGCAGCGGCCCCTCTATAGCCAAGGCCCGAGACAAATCCTGCCGACACGTACCTCCAATCCGGCGAGAGATAGACACGACAGGAAGCGATCAAAGCTCAGCACCGACGCAACACCTTTCGACTCGGTAGACTATTGGCTGCAGTTCGATAACAATGAGGAAGGGATTCCAGAGGAATCGGCGGCGGATTCGGCGGCCAAGGCTGAAACCCAGGCCAATTCGGCTAAACAGGGAGCTGCGGACGCGGACAGGTGAGTTCATATCACATCACACCACACCCGCCCTGTGCCTCATCCCACCCCTCTGCCACGCCTGAATAATGGCCAAGGTCACGGGCCGGGGCTGACAAGGCGACGCCTAGGCAACGAAAAAGCAGGCCATCCGCGTCGAGGCAGGTCTCGCAGTCAAACCTAGGAGCGACTGACGAAGGTGTTGATGATAGTGCGCTTGACAATGCTCTTTCCGATGACGAAGATGAGAACTTCTCCAATATCAACCTCGCGGAGCATCTTTCGAAAATAGACTCGGTCGCGCCCTCGGAGGTGCCACAGCGTGAGGGCTTGTACTCGACACCGCTGAGCTGGGAGAGGCCACAGCCAGGCTTGAGGATGGATTCAATCATGAGCATCCAGAGTCCAGCCACCCTCGACCAAGCAGAGCAACGGCGGTTGATTGCGATAGCGATGAACCCCGGACCATCTTCGGGAGGACTTGGCTCGAGCATCGCCGGCCACTATCAGTACGACCTAGGCCTAGGACCAGCCATGGGGTCTAGCATGAGCGCGGCGATGAGCCAGATTGTGAATATTAGTGGCACCCATCCTCAGGCGGCGCGGCCAGGCGCAATGTACCCACCCTATCACCCACCCCGCGAGGGGAGCATGAACGACAAGGGAAAGGACAAGGCTGTCAAGCCCGGAGACCGCACGGCCCATAACGATATCGAGCGCAAGTACCGGACGAATCTCAAGGACAAGATTGCGGAGCTCAGGGATGCAGTCCCGGCGCTTCGGACGATACCAGAAAACGACGTGGACGACGGGGACGAAGGAGGTCAGCCGTCTCGCGGCCCCAAAGTTAGCAAGGTGTGTTCAAAATGTGTCTTGGTTGGCTTGTGTAGACCTGGCGAAGGTGCGAAGTTGACGAAACTGACTTTACCTTGTTCCAGGGCGCTGTTCTCACCAAGGCGACGGAGTACATCCACTACCTGGAGAAGAAAAACAAAGCGATTGTGCAGCAGCACCAGGAGCTCTCGAGGAGACTTCAGGCCTTTGAGCAACTTCTCAGCGCGACAGCACGCCCGACTTACCAGATGCCGAACTATAGCAGAACGCTATTCGACCCAAGAGCGTTCTGTTGAAGCAAAGTTAGATTTACCCCACCCGGTTTGGCGGACATTCAAACTGTACATATTACGACCATACACGGCTCTTTATTATACCGCATTTGCAATGCCGTTATCTTGTTGTTGAGGTCATAGTGGGATCTGCGTCTTCGGTCCAGGCGACGACGCGTTCCGCCTATCGTCACTGTATCACGAACGAGAAAGGAGGTCCCGATTCCGTCCACCCATCCCTGCCCTGTCTTTGATTCATGGCTATACACATACACACGCATATACCGTTAGAAGCCTGTCAGCCTACACTTCAGGTAAATATGTGCTTGGCTGTTTTACTTTTACTCCACTGCATTTTTTTTCTGCAATACAAAAGGGGATATATCGAGGCAGAAAATGTGAGTTTAGCAGGGATCCGGCGCAGGCGAGCCGTCTGTATTCACGTTTACTTTCTACCTACTTGTTGGTGTCTTGATATAATCGTTATTCATCCGAAGATGAGCAAAGGGGGGTCTAGTTTGGGCGAACCATAGGGCCCTGGCTTGGAATGGAAGGCCATGTTTATTCAATCACCAAATCATATTGGGACTCGGATGCCTCCTTTCTGCGTGCCTCCTTTTTCACTTGCTTTTTTTTTTTCTCTCTCTCCATTCTGGTGGAACCAATCTACCAATGTCTGCACATGTCGGGACGTGTGAAAGGGGTCTGAAAGGGGCACTACAACTTGCTTCATCCAGATGAGTGGCATTGAGAGCATAATATGCGGAATACTATCTAGCGTTTCGACACGATTTGTTTTTGTGTTCTGTTGGTGCGGCTCATGAAAAAATACCACCGAAGGGGATACCCGAACCACCGTGGCTGACATGCCGGGCTTACACTTCCCGCAATGCCTCGATGTCGGCCACCTCCTTGACGGCCTCGGTGGTCAGTATGAGCGGCTCGTCCTCCATGACGCAGACGCTATCCTCGATCCTGACGGCCAGGCCGCGGAAGTGGCTCGGCCAGCGGTCGTCGTCGGGCACGTAGATGCCCGGCTCGACGGTGACGCAGTGGCCGGCCTGCAGCTGCACGCCGCGCGAGTAGCCGGGGACGTCGTGCACGTCGAGGCCGACGTAGTGGCTCAGGTGGTGGGGGAACAGAGCCGACATGCCGCGGTCGGAGGAGCCGGCGGGGCCGGCGGGGAGGTCGAAGCCCAGGTCGCGCAGCTGGTCGGCCAGGGCGCGCTCGGCGACGGCGTGCAGGCGGTCGAGCGAGGTGGCGGCGCTGGCGCGGCAGAGCGAGACGCAGGTGCGCTGGACGCGCAGCACGGCCTCGTACAGGTCGCGCTGGGCGGGCGAGAAGCGGCCGCCGACGGGCCAGGTGCGCGTGATGTCGGTCACGTAGGTGCCGAACTCGCCGCCCGCGTCCACCAGCACCGTCTCGCCGGCGGCGAGGGCGGCCGAGTTTTGCACGTAGTGGATCAGGGAGCCGCGGGGGCCGCCGGCAACGACGGGCACGTAGGCCGACCCGTCGCAGCCGGCGCGCGCGAAGCCGTGTTCTAGGAACAGGGCCAGGTCCCGCTCGAGGGTCCAGTTGCCGCCGCCGCCGCCGCCCGACGAGGAGGAGCCGTCGCGCCGCCCGCGCATGGCGTCGGTGATGACGCGGCCCGAGAGCTGGCCGGCCTTGCGCATGTTGGCCACCTCGGCGGGCGACTTGATGGCGCGCAGGGAGTTGACGAGCGGCGCGAGCGGCTGCACCTGGCTGGAGCCGGTGTAGTCTCGCGAGTCGGCGAAAACGGCGAGGGCGGACTCGGCCTTGTCCCGGACCTCGTACGAGGCCGCAGCGATGGGGCCGGCCACATCGGCGTTCCACACGTCCTCGGCGCCCTCGACGCCGCTCCACGGGCCGGACCATCGCTCGAGGATGGGGTCCTTGGGGCGGACGTAGAGGCGGAACTCGTGGTCGGCCGGGTCCCGATCCCGCCTGTGGATGACGGCTACAGCATCCTGCTCGGCGAAGCCCGTCAGGTAGAAGAAGTTGGAGTCCTGCCGGTAGGGGTAGAAGACGGCGCCGGAGCGGTACTTGAGATCTGCCGCGGCTAGGATGGCGACGCCACCCACGGGCAGTAACGCCGCTAGCTTCAAACGCCGGTCATAGTACTCCTGGGCCGTGATGCCCGGGGTCACTGAGGGCCGGGTCGCAGATCAGCATGAGTCGTACCTCGTTTATACTAGCACGGCGCCAAATATTGTGCTACTCTATGTACATACATTCCCCAGACTTGAGAATGTGTGGGTGTGTCTCATGGACCGGCTGTCCAAACTGCAACTCTGAGGCTGCCACTCTGGTGGCATAGCTCCTCCAGTTCGATACCCTCTGCGGGGTCGATGACGTGCATTGCGGGAGTAAGCGCGCCAGGTTCGTCCTCCGGGGATGTGCCTGTTGGAGATATCCCTGGATGGGGAGGGTATTGGTGGTGGCATTGTGCTGCTGCCATGGCCGCAAGACAGGCCGGCTGAGACGGAAGCCTACCCGGCAAGACATTGTTGACAATCGAATCGACAGTCAACGGGGGCCGGCGCACGGGTCCAGACAAGCTCAGCTGCAGGACGGGCGCGGCAGCCGAGATGGTTGTTTATCAACAGCCTGTTATTGAACGCGGGTTCAGGTTGCAGGTAGGGATAAGGGATGGGGATGGGCCACTTCATCTCGGCAGGGCTAATTTGTGCAGATGGATCCCAGGTCGAGCAGGCGGTGGGCCTGTTATTGTGTTCATGTTGTTTTCCTCTGGCACGTCTTTGGCTTTCTGCTCGTCAATTGACTTTCCGCCTCATCTTCCCGTCGCTCGATCAAGCCCGGTAGCCTCAACGCCTTCTACGTTTCTTGGACCCGTCTGTTCAGGTCGTGCGGCTGCACAGCAGTTTGCTTTTTAGCTTGGTCGCCCAGGCTTTTGGGCCAGGGCTGGTTGCTGCTGTGACGAGGTTGGCTTGCAGGCCAGGACACCCCCACACGACCTTGCCCAATCGGGACTGTATTATTGTTGACCAGCCATGGGGCGGGACCGCAGCGAAAAAAGGGCCTGGCCCGAGCTCGCCACCCATGAACTTTCTCTTTCAACTCGCGCCAAATTCCTCCCTCACACACTGACCGTCTACCGTCAGCTCGTCGTCCTCACTAACCGACCCAGCCAGCCCGACCGCACACAGCAAACACGCCTCACACCCTTCTCCCAGGAAACAGAAGGCGCATCGCAGTCCGGTCTCCCAGTCGGCCGCTTCCATTCCTTTCTTTGTTTCCCACATCTTCCCTGCTCCCATGTCGGTGGCCAACTGAGCGCTTTTGCCCCCAGCACTCGTCTTTTTTTCGTGTGGCGGAGACGTGTTTGCTGGTGGCGGGCCCCGTCGCGTGTCCGGACAGCACCCAGCAAGGCAACCCCTCCCTGAGTCCAAGCACCACCAACCACACCGCACACATCGACATTCTCCACCCGTGCCAACCTCGACTCACAACACGCGGAACCTTGCACGCTGAGCAAGCAGGCGTGCATCCAAACCACCACGCAAACCAGCACGCAGCAACGGTCGACTCCCAACGACACCGTCCTCGCGACAATTACCAGCTGCTGCCGTGTCTGCCCATGCGCTTATGGCAACTGTATCCCTATCCGTGTCTCCGGCGTCATTCTCTGCTATGTCGACCAGGAGAGTGCCTCTCTCGAACAATCCCAATGTCGCCAATTCCCCATTAAGAGGCAGCCATGTCTCGGCTGCCGCCAATTCGTTCGGCTTCTCTAAGCAGAAGCGCTCCTATGCTAGCGCTCAGCGGGAGGAGCTCTACGGCCAGCCACCCCCGGCCAAGAAGCAGATGCTCGGCAACGTCTCGACCTACCGCACCACCCTTCGCTCCCCAGTGAAGCCCAGGACTGTCGCCCACGCCGCCTCGCTGCAGCGGGCCTCCGCCACCGAACGAGATCGCGAGAGGGAAAGAGACAGGGCCTCGCAGCAGGCCTCGAGGGCGCCCAAGATCACCGAGAGGGAGATCGAGACCATCCAGAAGTGGGTGGCCAATCAGAAGGCCCAGTTTCCTCGCCATGTTTTCTACTTTGAGAGCGTACCCGACGATGTACGGGCCAAGCTGGCCCGGCAGCTCATGGCTCTCGGTGCTGTAAGTCCTGTCCCAGATCCGTTGATCCTCCATCTTTGCCATTCATTGCGCGCACAGTCCTTGCTAAACCAGTTTCCCATTGTAGCGCGAAGAGAAGTTCTTTTCCATCTCCATCACCCACGTCGTCACAACGCGGACTATCCCACCCGCCCCGACCGCTTACAAAGGCGCGGCCGACGCCAATGCTGCTCCCCAGGAGCACTACGAGCAGCCTCAGACCATTAACCCATCCCTCCTGAGCCGGACAAGCGATATCAGCAACACCAAGAGGAAACTGTTTGACACAGCCTCCACTGGGAGGAGAGCCCCGATCCAGCTTGGCGACGATGTCGTCCGCCGTCCGAAGGTTGCCCGCAATGTCGACATATTGGAGCGGGCTCGTGAGATGGGGAAAAAGATTTGGTCTCTGGAAAAGATGCACAAGGTCGTCAACACGATCTTGGAGCCTGACCCGTATCGTAGTGCGGCCCTTGGGTTCGGTGTCAGGACTGCTGGGGGTACCCAGACAAAGTCGGTCGAGGAGGGCAGCCTCCTCCAGCTTCTGAACAAGGAGCGTGTTAGTGGCCCTTCGGATCGTGATCCTACGGCCTCGACCAAGGAGATGCACATCTTCAAAGGCCCTCACATTTACGTCTACGATATTGAGGAAAAACAGCGTCCCATTATGGTGCGCGAGTACGCCAAGGTCCACGACAAGAATAAGGGCGATTGGCCGCAGTTCCGAGCGTCGGCAAATGGACGCTGTCCTTTTATCGACGACGAGCCCGAGAAGCCGTCACGCAAGGAGCATACACGACAGGCAACTGTGAATGCGGCGGTTGAGTCGGCCCCGAAGCTCAAGCCTCCAGTGCAGATATCACGTCCGAAGCCCCTCACTGGCAAACGCACGCTCGCCGAGATGGACGAGGCAGGCAACCGGACCGCCAACGCTGTCCTTGCGCCCACCGAGCTCTTCGGCCTAGCCAAGATTATCGCCCCTCCCACGCTCGATTTCAACCCTACCAACGCTTTCACCAGCACGAACTGCGCGAAGCCTGCACGGTTCCTAGCTGGCGAGCCTGTCGCCTCTGGTCTCCAGGCTTCCGGTGTCACGTCGGCCATTCGGTCCCAGATGGTGTCGTCGACAACCGGCACGCTCGGAGCCAAGACGGGAGTGAGCAAGGAGGTTATGGGCCTGCAGCGCAAGGTTCTGCAGAAGAATGACGCGGTATCACAAGACCCGAGCTCCCGCCGTCAGAATGACTTGAGCGTGGACAGTGGCTCGTTCCTTCGTTCGGCTAGCATGGGCAACGGGCGCCGTAGACTCGACGCGATCGACGAGTCACGCGCGGCAAAGGATGATAGACACAAACGAACAAACAGCGTTCCCTCACGGCTGGCGCCGAAGCCGAAGAAGCGAGACCCCAAGCCTGGGTACTGCGAGAACTGCCAGGACAAGTTTGAGGACTTTGAAGAGGTAAGCATACAATACTGTCAATCCCGCACTGGTCTGGATAGCGACGTAGGCTGACACAACGACTCTCCCTGTAGCATATACAATCTCGCCCGCACCGGAAATTCGCCGAGAACGACGACAACTGGACGGAGCTGGACGGACTTCTTCAGGCCATTGGCCGGCGTCCCCGACGACGATCGCATCGCGACTTTGACAGCGACTCGACCGAGTACCAGGCATACGACGAATAAGCTATGCGGCACGTCTCGTTACGTTTTGGGCTTGTGGAAGGGGAGGCGTGGTTCTCATGGATTCATCTCCCGTCTATCATTGCTGTTGCTGCCCTTGCGTCGTCTCCTCAGCGGTCATCTGCAGCTGATCTTCCAAGCCACCAAACCCAAAAACAAAGTTCTTTCGCTTATTCCTTGCTTCTCTCCCAATGCTCTCTCCCCATAATTGCCATGGGCGGATGGAGCCGGTACAGCACATGGCGGATACCCTTCCTTTCTCCTTTACGCCACATTTTCACCCGGCGGACTTGCGTGTCATGCCGGCATCTGCTGCATTTTCACGCATTCACGGACGGTGACTTCAATACCACATAAATCACTTGACTTGTCTTGATTTCCTTGGCCTTGCCAGCTTCAACTTGCCTTAATCGTTCCAACCCTCCCTAGTAGCGCGATCCCGAATCTTTCTGACATTGCACCTGCTTTCACTCTCGTTGCGTCTGGGTTCCACCATTTTCCCCTGTTGGCGGTCCATCTTTATACACAAGGTTTTGTGAGGTGTCGATAGATCTGGCCACTTTCTGCATTCATTATACGGCGGTCTCTTGTTTGTGTTGTCACGTTCTCTTCATCGCATCAGTATTGGCGTTAGCGGAATGATTTGATGTTTTGGGCTTACTATTTTGATTTCTTTGGTCGTTGACTTTGGCACCGACTGCCCTACCTCCATCATTTTCATCATCAGCCTTCTGCGTTGTGGGGAAGCAGCGATTTCGAAGCATGGATATTACGCACACTTTGGATGACGTGGACGAAGGTACTCGCTGGGCGTCACGATGGCTTTCTGGGCCTTGTCGCCGAGGTGCCTAGAGGAGACCCTTCCACCGGGGCACAACTGACCGCAGCTGGGCCAGAAGCCCATGTTGAACTAGTAATATGGGAGAGTCGGAGGGAATCAACCGGACCCAAGAGGATATATCCTATTGGCATGTGTACACTGTATGATACGAATCAGAGACGGAAATTGATGGTTTTATTTTTGTTCTAGCTATACATTTTTTGTCTCGCCAGGTCTCTCCACGGATGCCTCTCTGCCTCTTGTTGAATCCGAGTTTAGTTGCTTGGGTCCTTTGGGCACCGGCCCCGACATGCTGTGCTAGGTTCGTGTAAGCCGTTTGGCGTCTGGTGACCTGTTGTGGTGGGGCTCATGTAGTTGCGGCTCGCTGAATGACGCTGGGTGGTGGGGGTATGCACGGGGCTCGTGTCGTTGTTGCAGCCTGCGTGCTTTCGTCCAACAACCCAACCACACCACCCATCTCCTACAAACACCAGCATCTTTCCCGTTCCACCCGTGAAAGTCACGAAAGCACTGGAGCAGGCTGCGAACAAACCGCCCAGGCATCACCTAGGGTGGCTTCTCTAAACGTAGCTTGTTCCAGACTCGGCCCCTTGGCAAATTCCAACCAAGCAGACAAAAACCATGTCGTCCCCGCCAAGATACAGGAGCCCGCGCCTGCAGCGGCCGTCGACGTCGAGCTCTTCCACTCCCGGCGTGGGCGGCCTTGTCCAGAACTCGGCAGCAGGAGCGGCGGCGGCGGCGGCGGCGGCGGCGGCCTCACCGCCCAGCGCGCCCGAGGACGTCGCAGACGCGGACGCGGGCGCCACCAACGACGAGGACGGCGGCGGCGGCGGCGACGACATACCGCTGACCATGACGGCGTCGGTGATGCTGAGCCAGCTGCCGCGCGACGCGACGGCGGCGCTGGCGGACGCGGGCGCCTTCCCGGCCGGCCTCAAGGTGGTGGTGCGCTTCAAGCCCGTGGGCGGGAGCGCGCCCGCGCTCCGGCAGGAGCTGAGCAAGATCAGCGCGTCGCAGCGCTTCGACTCCGTGGTCCTGTACCTGCGCCGGAGGCTCCAGGTCGCGCCGACGGAGAGCGTGTTTCTGTACATCAACTCGACCTTTGCGCCGGCGCTCGACGAGATCGTCGGGAATCTGCACCGGGTAGGCGGGGCCCCCCATGTCTCCTTTCCTCCTGCGGGACATGGCTGTGCGCGCATTGCTCTGACTGCCCATACGACTTCTCTGCAGTGCTTCAAGGATTCCAACGGCCAGCTCAATGTTGCCTACTCCATGACACCAGCTTTTGGATGAAGTGTCGATTGCCTTGGCCGCGAAAGAATACGTATCATCTACCCTAATCGAGCGCTATCGCCTTGTCGGTATCGTCTGTTACAGGCTTGCTACGTCTATATTACCAAACAATCAAAAATCAAAAGGACACAGAAGGTGAGTTGTATCATCCTCCTGAACAAACGCCACTGATGCATATCCAGCGTATGCTCCAGCGTAACTGTCGTTATATGAAAACCAGGATGCTGACCAAATCAATAAATCAGGATGGATCTATGAAGAGGGCGGGTTCTCTGCGTCGGCCTTTTCGAGCTTAGCAGTGAATGCGGCCAGCTCCTCGGGTGGGATGGGGTAGGTGTGTTCGGTGGCAGGGTACGCGCGAGACTTTACGTCGTCACGGTAAGCTTCGATGGCCCTGAGTGACTCGGCCCAGACGTTGCCGTACTGCTTGACAAACTTGGGCAGGAAGCGGCCGGGCGGAAAGTTTCCCGTCAAGTCGATCTGGACCAGCACCTGGCCGGAGCAACCGTTGCCGGCGCCGATGCCGATGGTGGGGATGCGCAGGCGGCTTGTTATCAGTGCGGCGACCTCGGCAGGCACGGCCTCGAGGACAGTGGCGAAGGCCCCGGCCTCTTGGACCGCGAGGGCGTCCTCCAGCACGGCAGTGGCGCCGGCGGCGGTGCGGCCTTGGACGCGGAAGCCGCCAAGGGCGTGCTGGCGCTGCGGGGTCAGGCCGACGTGGGCCAGGACCGGGATGCCCGCGGTGGTGAGGCGGCGGATCGTGGGGGCCATCTCCCTCCCTCCCTCGAGCTTCACGCCCTGGACCCGGCCCTCCTTGATGAAGCGGATGGCGGTGGCGAGGGCCTGCTCGGGCGAGACCTCGTACGAGCCCATGGGGAGGTCGCCGACGGTGAAGGCGGACTTGGTGGCGCGGGCGACGGAGCGGCAGTGCAGCAGCATCTCGTCGGCGACCACCTCGCTCGTGTCCTCCATGCCCAGGGCGACCATGGCCAGGCTGTCGCCGACGAGGATGACGTCCATGCCCGCGGCGTCGGCCACGTGGGCGCTGGGGAAGTCGTGGGCCGTCATGACGGTTATGGGCTCGCCCTTGCGGTGCATGGCGCGCAGGGTGCCCAGCGCGACCTTCTTGCGCTGGCTGGGCTGCGCCGCGCCCATGGGAGAGTGCGAGCTGTACCTGCGCTGATGTAGCGGCTGCTGGCTGTGGTGTTGGTATTGGTGCTGAGGCCAGGGGCAGGGGGCCAGGGTTAGGGGTCGGCTGGCGCAAGAGGGAGGCCGGACTGTTCGGCGCAGCGTGGTGGCCACCGAGACACGCGACCTGGCCAGGGCAGACGGGACGATTGATGGCTGCATGTTCACGGTACGTGGGCTGCTGTGAGAATTATGCAGTCTTGTCAAGTACAGTATACTTGTCGTGTGACCAATGGCAAGGTGTGCAAATGTTGGCTGCGGAAGGGCGTACGTAAATGGCTGGTGCGGGTTCAGTCCGGAGGAAAATGAAGAAAAGGAAACAGGAAATCAAACCGCATTGCAAAATTGTTGGGCGTGTGCTCTCGTCGCTTTAATAAACCAAGGTCATGATGGTTTTTACTCGTGTACAATCCAGTATCACCACTGACGGGGCTCCCCTCTGCGGCGGTTTAGCCTTCTTTTCTTTTTTTTTTCCCTTGCGCGTCCCGCCCGCCCGGATCCAGCGTGGAGATTAGAGCAACGCAGCCACACGATTCGGCGCCACAGGGCGATCCCCTGCACCACAGCGGTGCCTAGCGTGCTGGGCGAGTGTTCCCGCCGGGGTGGGGCGGCTGGCTGGCTGGCTGTCTGTAAGCACCAGGCCTTGGGCAGAGTTCGGAGCGTCGGAAACCAATGGTGAACAAAAACAGAAACGAGCCTGGTTCGAGACAAAGACCCCAACGTCAGACGCTCGGCACCTGAAGGACACCTGAAGGCCCGTCCCCGGTTCCGGCCCACTTGGGGTGACAGTCCCGCCCCTCAGCTGGCTTATCGGGCACCCATGACCCTGCCTTATCACGCCGCCTCCACATCATGGCTGAATCCCCGCTTGCAGCTCAAACCACGCCGAAGTTGGGGAACCTGCCTGACCTGTCTTTCCTCAAAGCCAACTCCTGACTCGACCCGACAAACCATCGCCTTGGACCGCTTCTACTACCTTCCCTTATTCCTTGGAACCTCTCTGCTTCCGTATTTCAATACAGCCTAGTCTAGCCGTCCTCCAGCCAACCCACGCGCCTCCATACCTAACTCCCTACCAGCCACAAGCCCGGCTCGTGCAGCCCCTTCTCACGCCATAACCCCCCACGACGCTCCGAGACCCGACCGACCGACTAGCCGGCCAGACAGAATACGAAGCCGTCTGTCTCCCTTCAGCAATCGCGAACCGCACCGGGCTAGTTCCCGGAAGCCAAGAACCGACGAGTTTCCCGCCGAGTAAACACCCCACAGATCGCCAATATGAGTAGCCCGAGGCGGCGGATCGAGACGGATGTATGCCTACACCACTGGCCCCTCATGCCACGCTCATGCTTCTCCTAGAATCATGGTTTATACCCCCGTCGAGTGCCGGCTGAAGTTGCTGACTGGCTGCGTGTTTCCTGCACGCCCGTATAGGTCATGAAGTTCGTCCCACACATGCCGAATCCGGCGCAGCCGCCCCGCCCCGTCCTCCAAGAACCACTCCAGCTGACCTGCCTGCTCTCCGCCAGGATGTACGATAGGAGGAGCGCGCCGGCCCTATGCCTCTCCCACTTGCTGACGTGCGCAGGTTCATGAGCGACTACGAAGTCACCCTGGTCAACGACAACAGTATGGCAGCGCTGCCCCCTTCCCGCCACCCTTGCTCCTTCCTTTTCCTCACATGTGATCTCCGCCATATCCGTAGACTGCTGACCGAAGTGTGCTCCAGTGTGAGTATCTGGGAGCTCGAATCATGTGCAACGGGCTTTGCCTCGCGATGCTGCACAGCCGGTGCTGAGACCACTCCAAATTGCGCAGGCAAGAATTTTATGTCATTTTCAAGGGGCCAAAAGAGAGTCAGTAGCTTCATGAACCAAAACGCAGCATACCCCGTCGGCCGACCCCAAAACGCCCAGGCCGGCATGGGGGAGTAGTTGGGGATGGGGCCGCTGACAGTCACCGAACCGTACCAGCTCCCTTCGAAGGCGGCACCTGGAAGGTCCATGTCGAGCTCCCCGACCAGTACCCTTACAAGTCTCCAAGCATCGGCTTCGTCAACCGTATATTCCACCCCAATATTGACGAGCTGTAAGTTCTCCCAGCGGTGGCAGCGCCGCCACACCCAGTCGGGCGTTGTGGCAAGATATTCAACCGGCCCTTGGGCTCAGGGGAGGCATCAAGAAGATGCAGAGAGACTAAGGCAGTTTTGCGGGCGAGCGCGCTTCGCTTTAAACGTGGATATAGATCCGGATCCGTCTGCCTGGACGTCATCAACCAGACCTGGTCGCCCATGTTCGATATGATCAACATCTTTGAGGTCTTCCTGCCGCAGCTGCTGCGGTATCCGAACCCGACGGACCCCCTGAATGGGGAGGCGGCGGCGCTGCTCATGCGCGAGCCCAAAAGCTACGACGCCAAGGTCAAGGGTAAGTGGTTTAGTTCATGCCTTCTGCCTCGGAATCGCTGGGCTGATGAGTGAGGTCGTCGCAAGCAGAGTACGTACAAAAGTACGCCAACAGCGATACGACCAACGAAGGGGGCGCCGAGACCGAGGATGATGACGACATGTCCTCAGTCGCAAGCTTTGGCGACGACGACGACGAGGAGCCGGCCGGCAAGATGGACGATGTCTGAGCGACGCAACAACTGTGGCGGCCCTCTCGAGGAACCACTTCTGTCAGCCTCCGTAGCTTTAACGTGTCTAACCCTGGCTCCTCCCGGCGCCACATCTTTCAGACACGCCGAACCTCTAGTGCAAAAGGGCGTCTACGGATCCTGCTACCCCGTCCCGTTTTTCAGCTTTCTTCGGTCTCGTTTAATCTTCGTTTCTCTTGACCATCGGGCACAAACTCCCTCGGCTTTGGCCTTCTTTCAAGGCTTTTCCTTTGGTAATGGCTGGCTTCCACACGACTTATTCGCATGGGTTCTTTTTTCATGTAAAACTTGTCTCGGCAATGGGCGTTTGTTTAGCCTTTTTTTTCACTCCCTGTTCTCTTTTCTTTTCTTTTCAAACAGCAAGTGAGGACCAGAGCTGTCTTCGGTGACCATGACGGCTGCGTATTAAGGATGTGCTAGGGGATGAGATGAGATGTAGAGCTCATCGGGAGATGGCGGCTCGGAGCGTCTCCAGAACCGCACAATATCTACTCAAGTCCGACGTTGAGAAGCAGCTGGCGCTGGTTGTGTCGACTGTGTACTTTGGGCCGTTGGCCAACCGGGATGCCGAGGCCACTGGCTTTGGAGCTTGGGGCTGTTTCGTCATATTACTTTTTTTTCTTTCCTTTTTTTTTTTTTGGATTCCCCCTTTTGCACGCCCCATGCTTTGCTAGGGTCTAGACAGTCTGTTGTGACGCAACTGGCAATCTTGGGTATCCATGACACCCTATACTGTTTCCGATTCATCATCTGCCAGTCCCGTAACCCGCTAATGCCCCTAGCCTTGGAACGTATACATCGAGATCGTTGGGGCGCCGCCGTACGTTGAATCCATGATAGATTGGGGGGGGGCTTTGATAACGCCCTGTCGGTCCAGTCACGCCATCTCTGCGGTTACGTGATGCGAGATATTGACCTCTGCTTCTGCATCCACCGTCTTCACGCCGAGCCCGTGGCCCAAAATCGTAGTTCCTAGATCCAGAGGCAAGATGACACACCAAACATGCACAAGAAAGAAAGGGCTGGTAGCTTCGGGACACTGTCTCTTTGTCAAGCGTTTGCTGCCCACGTGAATGATATATATCTGCGTCCATCCGCTCAGCTAAAGGAACTACCTGACCCAACTATAAAGCCAGCCAAGGACCCCCCGCCGTTCCTTTGTTACGGGAATCTGCGCCTCGTCCGCAGAGGCGGCGTCGCTGCTGGGGAGAGCAGCGCCAGCGGCGACCTTGACGGGGCCCGAGGCGGCGAGATAGTTCATGGTCAGGTTGAAGTCGCCGTCCTGTTCACCAAAGAAGCTGTAACGCACGAGGGGGAGCTGTTAAGACTTTTTTTTCTTCCTTCTTTCTTATTCTCCAACTTGAACCGCGTCGGGCAGCGACAGAAACATACCTCCTCATCATAAAGGTGATGCGCTTGATGTTGGCCAGGTCCAGGGTGGCATCCTTGACCTCCCTGCCGCGGTACGTGGCCTTGAAGTCGGACAGGGGCATCTCGACGCGACGCGTCTTGGCCTGGTCGGTGGCGCCGCCCTGCTCGGGCACGACGCAGAAGCCGTACTCCCAGCTGACCGTGCTCTGCTCGCGGCCGTCGGGGCTCGGGGGAAGGATGTCGTTCTTGAGCGTGACGGTGAAGGTCTTGCCGGACTTGCCGTCCGCGCCGCAGCAGGCGGCGGAGGAGGAAGAAGAGGGGGGAGAAGAGCACGCGGCACCGCCTTCGCTCGCCGCCACCGACGTTGGCACGACGATCTCGGCCACGAGGCCCGAGACGCCGGTGAGGTCGGCGCTGAAGGGGTCGGCGGTCCGCTGCGAGGCGAAGCCGGCGCCGCCGAGGGCCGTGGTGTTCAGGTGGCCGTGGAAGGTGGCGGCGGTGCGGCCGGGGTCCGACGGGGACGGCCCCACGTCCAGGAAGGAGACCGAGACGCCGCCCCGGACGCGGTCGTCCGAGGCCTGGAACCGGGACGCATCCCACGGGCTGTGCCGGTGTTGCGCCAATCAGTCTCGGTTGCTCCAAGGGGGGTGTTGGTGGGTCATCCCGGCGCTACCGTTTCCACGTTTGCATCTGTCTTTTTTTTTTTTTTAATTTTTTTAAAAAAAAAAAATTGTTACGACATCAAGCAGCTTTGCTTTTGCGTTGTCCTTGCAGCATTAAAAATGCGTGTGCAACGTTGCCAGACTTCAAGTCTGGGGGTGCGCCGGGGGAGAGGCCAGAACGGGGAACAAGATTCGAGGAAAGGATCTGGTTCCCAGGCCAGCTCGGACAAGTCACCCGTCATTACAGTTGTGAAAACAGACAGAGGGCGACACAAAACCCCACGGGGTTGAGGGCCGTGAGCTATGGGGCAATGGGCTTCGCCAATGCTTGGGCAGGAGAGCGGCTGCGGACTCAAAAAAGGATCCGAGAGGGGGAGCCACGACATGAGAAATGCCGGGTGACGTACTTACTGGTTGCCACCACCAAAGATGAAGTTCGTCTGAGCAACGGCCGCCATTGGTGCGAGGTCGAACCAAACAAAAAATAAAAGAGCGTGTGGGTGAGGCCTTTGCTGTGCCGCGGGGTTTCGTGGCTGCGGGTGTTAGAGCCTGGAGGAGCGCGAAGGATCAGCTTGGGGTGCTGTGTGGTGTGGCCCTGCCCTACCACGGCCGGGGGGGCCTGGAACCATTCCGTCTTGGGTCTGTCCTTAGCCCCGAGGAGGCGGCGGCTGGCGCTGTCGGGTCTGCCTTGGCCCGAGGCTGCTCGTCGCCGGCCCGAATGGGGGGCTCGGTGGGACGTCATGGCACAGGAAGATAGGGCAGGACAGGACATGATAGGATGCCGTTCTGGCGACGACGTACCTGTTGCGGGAGCAGACCAAAAGAGCGAATGGGTGTGTGAAGGAGGAAGCAAGAGACGCTAGCGCAGCGACGAGAGCACCGTCGCGGTTTTGTCAAGGCGGATTGGCCGACTGTGGCAAACAAACTTTACAGCCCCTGAATCTGAATCTTGAAGGGACATCACGTCATGCGATACCGGCTGGGAGAACCCTCGCTGTTGTGGGCCGTGTTTGTGTGGCTTGTCAGCAGCCCTGTCCATCCCTGCGGGAGTGTGGCGTCATCCCGTGTGGCGCGCGGGGATAGTTACAGGCGCTGGGACCTGTCTGCCTCGTCTAGTGAACCGAAAAAAAGGACGGCTTCAAAGCAACTACGGCCCAACACCAAGAGAAAATATAATAGAAGGCTGCATATCGCATATGGCATATCCTGCCAGTTCCATGCATTGCTGTGTCTGGGAGGCTAAAGATGCAACACGCACGATCCTTCCGGCGGATTTCTTTTTTTCCCTTTTTTTCTTCTTCTTTTGTCTCCTGAGCTAGGCACCCGGGCCGGCCTGTCAACAAACAGGACAGCGGACCGCCAAGACTCTTGCAATATCTAGACTTTCTCAAACCTGCCCAATTGAGCCGGTTGATTTGCCCCTCTCTTTTGGGCTTTTGGGCGATGGAGGAGGGAGCTGTCGGGAGAAAGAGAGAGAGAGAGAGAAAGGTGGGCGCAAATGCAACAGAACCCCGCCGAAACCACATGCCTAATACGGCGCAATAGTTCCGCCGGCAACCAGCAAGCACCAGTGATAGCACCAACAAGGGAGAGGAGAGGAGGGGAAGGAGTGCGGCTCGTGGCGGAGCCCAGTCGCTCGGGCCACTCGGGACCGGCGCACCCAGCATGGAAGCCAACAAGCAGGAACGTGGAGCCGTGTGCCGTGCGTGTGTTGTAGTTGTAGACCTGGCCTTTGTGTAACACACCTTTTTTTCTGCTTCAGACCGACGCGTCCGGAGCCGAGCTGTCTCTGCGGGGCCCTTTTCCCTCGCCATCCCTGGCAAGGCCAAACCCCCGGCGGCCTGGGACGACGGGATTAATCAGAGGGAAGGTAGGTCGGAGAGCGAGAGGGCAGTGGCGGGGTGCATCTTGTATACAGGAAGGTGCCTCTGGGTTGAAACCCAAGGTAGGCAGGATACGAGTTCCCTCTTCCGAGAAGGGTGGCCGGCCGGGGGGGTCTTGTGACGGGCCGCGCATTCTCAGCTATCCTCCCCCCATGTTCCCTCAAGCCTGGGCTTCTCGCGACACGCATAAAAAAAAAAAAAAGGTGCCCGCCCCCCACCCCCTCCTCCTCCTCCGTCACGACGGCCGTGTTGCAATGGAAAAAGTGCCACGCATGGGCGAGCCCGGCGGCCCCAGAATAAACACCTGCGGCAGCAGCACAACGCCCGTCCATCGGGGCCCCTCCGTTTTAATTTGGAGCATGGGCGAGGCTGGCCACATGGAGGAGCGGCGGGCGGGTCTCTTGGTCTGGGTCTTTCTTGGGCGCGCAGCGCAGCCAGCCCCTCCCGCCGGCACAGACAGGCGGATGCCATTGCAGTCCTCAGGTGTTTTGGCATGTGGTGGCATGGATGGGGATTGGCATGTGCGGGCGCGGTACCCGAGGCCAAATTAATAACGAGGGAGGGCTGATGGGGCCCCTTGTCACTCGCTTAGGTGCACTGAATTGAGACATTCTGTCGTCGTGTGCTACTCCACACACAATAAGAGTGAAAGCGATCTCGACCACCAAACAAAACAACACGAAAATACAGACACGCGCATGAAAAGCAAGCGGCAATAAACCCCCGATCACAGCCCATAATCTCATTGAGCAGATCGACCGCCACGTCCAGCGCAACCGAGCACCGACTCGGCCGGGTTCCCACCTTGTTGTGCAAGGCCACCAACTGTCTCCGGCAAACGGCTCTCTCTCCCTTGCAGGGCCATCCATTGCGGGTCCTGGTGGGCAGTGACGATCCATCCTCTCTCCGCTCCATAAACCATGCGAAAGTGGGTGGTTACACAAGAACTTCGGTTCGGACTTTTGCCCAGCTGGGCACAGCCAAGAAACCCATAGGGTAAAAAGTGAAAAGAGAGAAGAAGAAGAGGAGTGAGTAAAACCCCACACCCTGCCATTGCTAATTGGAGAACTGGCGGAGGGCAAATTCCTCCCCCACGAGATGAGGAGAGAGATACGGGGCTTGGTTGGGATATTATGCGATTACAAACCAACAAGAGGGAGGAAGAGGATGAAGTACCACCCAGCACCCAGCACCCAGCTGTTAGAGTGGTGTGGAGAAGGAAGGGGCGGCGCGAGCGAAAACAAACGAGCCGAGCCTGCCTGGTACTAGGTATGAGCTTCTGTTTCTGCCCGGCTCTAGTCTAAACCCGCAAAGTGCCGCTGCGGCGACGGGCGATCCCCCCCAAGTGGCGCCATGCACCCTTATGCCAGGTGCAACAATACTGTACAAGGGAAGGAATCCGTCGCCTTTCAAGGCAGGCAGACAGGCAGGCAGGCAGGTAGGCGGGTAGGTGCCTAGGTACCTACCTGCTTGGGTATGCAAAAGGACTAGGATTTGAGAATCGGGAATAGCTCCACTTAGCCAAAAAGAAGAGAGAGAAAAAAAAAACCTAAAACCTGGAAAGACGAGAGATAGAGCAAAACTCCGGCCGGCTCCACGCAACGTGACAACCCGCCGTGGCGGTCCTTTGCAGACCAAAGTGGAGGGTATGGCAGGTTTGGTTTGTAATGATGGGTAGGGGCAATGCGCCTGACCTAATGTGCGCATGGCACCTGGCAAGGGGAAACGACGACAAATCGAAAAAAAAAAAAAGCCACACGGGCGAACTCTCAACCCCGTCGGGGGCGCGGAAAGGCGGCGACCGCAACCACCTTGTGTCCGAGTGCGAGCAAGATTTCGCAGATAACAACAACACGGGCATAACGCGGGGGACGGCTGGCTGGCTGGCGGCCCCTTGTAATGGGCGCCTCATGCCCAAAGAGACCCAGCATGAGAGAGAGTGGGCCGCCAAAATGGGCCAGGGGTTGTCGACCTTCTGGACCAGGGCCACTTCGTCCCCCTGGCAGGCAGGCCAGGATTCGTTTGCGCGATTCCACATCAGCATCAAAGCGCGCGGCCCCAACCGCCTCAGTCAGATTCTTATCATCCCTTAGGTATCCATCCATCCGTTACGAGTGACAGAGACGACCACTGATTACATGCACTCGGCATCTTTTCTTGTGTGTACGTTTTGTGTTCTTAGACAATAGAATTTAGCAGGGGAAAAAGGTGCACTATGTGACATCCGACCATAAGCAACCCCCAGAAAAACAGGACTCCTCGTACACCGTTTTAGGCCTGGAGCGGCCGCTCCCAGTTTCCCTCTAGTAACCCCCAAAATGTAAAGCAAAAAGACAACCAGGCCTAAAGGAATGAGAAAGGAAAGAGGGATTGTGAATCCAGTGAAAATAGAATCGTGCGTGTGCGTGTTCGCGTGTAAAAGTGGCGGTGGCAATGTTGATAAGGACAGGGAGAAGATGATGGGAGTGATGATGAGGGATAAATATGCGTCGTCGCTTTCCATAC